AAGGAACAGTTCAAGATTTGATAGGATTGACGACCCATGTCTAGCACGGCGAAAAGACAATGATCGACACGATACTTTCTATCTATCTTTATCCATTAAAATAATAGAAAAATTTAAACTTAACACGACAAATATATTAACACTAAAAATCGAAACGAATCCCTTCCTCTAATGAATATTGATTTCTGATAAGTATATAAAAATATTGATGAATATACATGTAATGCAAACGAAGAGCCCATACTTATTTTCGAATTGAAAAATATTTTTGGAATTCCGTTGCACGTAATAGAATAAGATCGTGGCAAAAATCTCGTGTTCCCACAATAAGAGATTACTTTAATCAGAGAGGTTGGATATCGCCGAGATTTTCTCCTCTATCTCGAAGAGGAAGGGGAGGGGAGGAGGGGGCACCCTCGACGGACTTTTATTGCCCCGAGATCGGGAACAGATAAAACAGTTTCCGAACCCTTTGTTAATCTCTCTGACCGATGATTTTGTAACGAGAACGATCGTAGGCGTAACCGAGGCGATCGATGCCCGTAATTGTCTGGGACGCCGGAATGCCCTGGCTCCGGTTGTTGCAACTTTTCCAGATGCCGGACTTGGCATCGGATGACGAAATTGATTCAAGCGTACGATTCACTCGTTGTGAATCCTCCGCGTTACGAAACGATTTGATCGGGTATATACAGTCCGGTGAGAAATCTCAGCAATCGATATCTGTGTCGTTGTTAAAAAACGGTGAAAAATGGGGGCAGAATTAGCAAACTCGTCGAACGCGCGGAAGTGTTTCGAAAGTCCCGTAACATGTGCCGCGAGACGTCACAATGAGTCGAGAGATAAAGTACGTGAGCCAGTACGGTTTTAAAATTTTAAAAATGTTAAGATGTTGAGATAAAAATTGCGTACAAAAATTTAACAATTATCCGTAAGTATTGGAGAATTTATATAATGTGTAATAAAGTGTCTTTTGTGAATTTTTATCCATGAGATTCTAATTTAAAATTGAACGAAATCAGATCGAGAGATGGATAGAGAGAGAAAAAGAAATTTTTTTTTTTTTTATTTAACCACTCGTTTCCATGGTGTGTATTACGACTTGTAAACAGATCTTAATAACCACGTTCGAAGACAATGGCAAGACACATTTCAGGGAATGCGAAATACCCACACGAAGAGAGGTCAAAATGGCGGATGGCGCAACGAATTATCAGATGCGGCTGGCCGGCTTCCGTCTTTTTAGTTTCGCGTGTTTTCCTCGCGATTAATTCCCAAGATTTAATAAATGTGTGTTGGATATAAATAGAAACTGCAGGAAATGAGATAACAACGGGAGCGGTCTTTATGAAAGTGGAAAACGTGTAAGTTACGAGTTATCCACAGATATTAACCTAACTTAATCATGTCGAGAATTTTGAATTAAGGGGATGAAGGAACGCGTCCAACAAGATCCTCAACAAGATGAATACATATAAAATTGTGATAAAATTTCCTAACAACCATGAAGGAATGATAATGAATGGATAACAAGAGCCTGCTTATATTTTCATTTAATCGTTTCATCAAATTCATTCCTTGCATTCTTTCGAACACTCTTTATCTATATCATCCACACGTGTATATTAAAATTTAACGGTGATCACGATCATCCTATTTTCTCTCATCGAACTCACCCTGTTACACCATGGATAGAGTAAAACAAAAATCTATACGCGAAGAAGAGTCGATAAATTCGTGTGTAATATTCAAAAGTTTAGCTTTGTGAATATTGGATCGATAAGTGGACAACGACGAGACTGGCTCGTGTGGCTTTGAGCTACGCAGATATCATCTACGTCGAGGATGTTAACTAAGATGCTATCTGACGAACCCTGCTGTGACGTATCGATCCTGTATACCCTTCTCTTACCTCGGTATTTCTTCCATCACCAAATATTTCTATTTTCGTTCAAATTTCGAATTCGAAAGTATTAACGATACAACATTAAAGATGGTTGTTTACGAATTGGCCGACGGATGATAATCTAGAATTTGGAAAGGGGTCAGCATGAAATGAACTACTACATGTACGGGGCTCGCAGATCGAGAGATCGACTGATCGATGGGTGACGTGTTGGATGATATTGGAGGAAGATAAAGTTGGAATGGGGGCCTGGTGGTGCAACCGTTGTGGAAGGCCTTTTAGGGACGATGCATGATTAACGGAGGAAGATGAGTCGAGCAGGATCTTCGATGTTTCAGAGAAAGCAGAAACGAACGAGGAACAAATTCGAGATCGAGTTAAGGAAAGGATATCGTGTGTCGATATCTGTGTAGGGGAAAATCTCAATGATCAATTCTTTTGGAATTTTTGACTCGAGTTAATTTTCTGCTAATTAAATTGTAAATTTGAAAATTAATCGAAATGTGTGAAAAAAGAAAGTCACGCGTGATCGGGTACGTTAACGAATGGAGCGTTAATGATCGCGTTTCTAAATTGTATCAATGACGAGAGTCACGATTGCGTTGCGTTCTACGGTCTCAACGGTGGTCCACGATCCCTGGAACACGTGAGACGGCGTGACACGATGAATTTGTCACGGGTTTGGGTCACGCTACGTGCTTCAGACTACTTGTTCCGTCTTTTTTCCCCCGTACCCCTGGCTGGCTACGCGCTCCTTTTCTCACCTCGACTACCCACCGTGTAAGCACGCGCGATAAATTTCTCAAATACAGTCCAGCTTTTTATTGTCCACGTGAAAAATATTAAATCGAGACTCATCCGTGAAACTGTGAGATTGGTACAAATTCTATTAAGCACAATGTGAGAAAATGTCAGATGACGGTTTTCTTTTAACGAATAAATTCTTTATTGATTCTATACTTGGAATCTTGGATAAGTGAATTCTTCAGTACTCGAAGAGATTTATTCGCAATCGTTAAAACGATTCCATGTTTTACAATAGTCTTTCGTTATCAATGTGTTGATCCTTCAAGTTTAACGACTATTGAACTCTCCCAATAGTTGTATTCCTTATCGAATATAATACAAGATACTACAAATCGCGTCTTCCCTTTGGGATAAATCTCTACTCGCGAAGCTTATTTGCGGAAGTCGAGGACGCGCGAGTCGAGAACCGAGAGGATATTGAATATCTTACACGACACAGTTCGCACTTAATGATCCGTGGAATCGTTCAGACACGATTCTATTTCCTACTTTTGACCAGCAATTAACAGTGCGCTTCCATCGAGCAGCGTGCTCCCGCTGTGTCTTTCATTACTGGACCACTAAATTACAATCACCGATACTAAACACGAGTCTGTCGCTATTAATTCGATATTTTGTAGCCATCCTCGTACGAACGGAACGAGGCTACAAAAAAACATCTCCAATTTGCCTGCGTTACGTTCCCCGTGCGGGATATTCATGGTAACGATCGCAAAATCTTTCATCCAGAACACTTGAATTTCCGTGGGACTCGCAATTTCTTCGGACACAGTTTTTATCCTGCAATGGTATTCCTAATCATGTATAAATATCTTTACACATTCAACGCGTCATGAACAAAATATGTAAAAAATAAAAAAAAGTTTTCACGTATCGTTTCGCATACAAGTATGCACACATTATTTTGAATTTTGTTGCATTTCTCATTTCGTTTTACAATTATTTTTTATCAAAAAATAATATCCGCCGATATCTTGAGATCCGCTTCGATTTTTATTATCGCGTTGAATGTGTTAATCGAGAAAGCTCGGCCGACAGTCACGTAATTATACAAAAATATCTAGAAATCGACTAATGGGAACTAAAAATTGCTGGCAGAGATCGGAATTACATTCGAAACTGATTGTACGCACGAAAGAAGCGTTAAATCAAACCTGTTAAGGATGGTCACGGTTTGCGGATCGGGTTGAACGGCTCGAAAATCGTTCTCCAACCTCGTCTCCTTTTTTTCGAAGCGACGTGAACGTGGACCGAACTCGTGCCAGGGGAGAATCGGGTATCACCGATCTTGAGGGCGGTCGCGAAAAACGCGTGAAAGAAGAAGAAACGATCGATGCCGGAATATCGACGACGATGGTGGGTTGGATACAAAGAGGAATCAGACGCGAGCAAGGGCATGCGCGAATCCGCGTCTAATCACGAGTTTAACGCTTTTTACGACGTCCACGAACCTTCTTTCACCGTTCGAGTCGATCGTTTTCCCACAGTCAGAACACTGGTTCCAAGCTCGGCTAGGAATCATGGCGGTTCTTATCGCTTTTTCGTACGTTGCTTCTTTTTCTCCAACGTGTGTACGATCGTTCCAGTTTACACGATTTCGCGCCAAACCACCGAAACATTATTGCTCACCGAGATGAGAAAGAAAGAAACGTGATGCGTAATTATTGTTCGAAAAATTACTGATTCTTTCGTTCGAATGACCCGAAATTTATTGGTTATCTAATCGATCGATCACATTAAGCCGCATTTAATTAGTTAAAAGTTTTTTCATGTATGAATAAACTTGAATTATTTATACGATTAACGAGTAATGGACACCATTAGACAATTAGCCATATTGTATAACGGTTCAGCCATATTGATAATTGCAATGAATTGTTCGTATGATCAACTATAGTTGGCGCCATCGGATAGATATATTAATATTTAATATAGAAAAATGGACAAATTTTAAATAAATGATCAAAAGTTTATTTCATTCGATTGAAATATAGATTTTGAACGAGTTAAAGTAATTAATATAAACTCGGCTTTATAGCATGAATAAAAATACTTACATGTTTTACACTCTTCAGAGATTTGCTTCGATGATGGCAGCCAATTGATGTTTCACTCGCATCGACAAGTCTATCTTGATTTAAAACTTTGTTGACACGTTTCACTGATTGAATTATGTAAAGATAAACCTATTGTATACAGGTAGTTTATATTATCTTTCACTTCACATCTTCTAGACCACTAATTAAAACCTAACACTACCGTGTAATTGAAACCATTGATTTAATCGAATCACACTGAACAAGCAAGAATTAGATGCAAGACGAGAATCGATTATACTGATCTATCGAACGTTGGGTGGCAAACTTCGGTTCCTTCTTGAATAGATATACATAACCTGTCAAACATCAGACAACTGGTAATTATCATCTTTCTATTTTAATCATTCAATCTTATTTCAATTTATTATCGTATAATTATCGTATAATTAACTATAAGGATTTAACTATTAACTATAAAATCTACGACTGAAGTCGTTGGTCTCTATATTGATGGATAAAAATCAGTTCGCGGTCGCTCGAATCAATGATCGCATTATTACCTTAGTCTATAGCAAACAATCCCTGCTTTTTCACAAGAAGATTTCTTTTCTTGTCCGCGTTCATTCGTGCGCATGATCGATTCCGCATCACCTCGATTTTATCGCGAACTAATGGAAACTAGCACCTAGTCGAACAAATGACCTGTTTTAGTTACGTAACCTTGATCTTGATCGTCCTGATGTTTTCGATTCGTATTTTAAATCTTATTTTCTTTCTTTCTCGAAGTTTTAGATAGGCTGATGTTCATCGTATCAGATATACATCGACTACATCGAAAATAAGAATATTAAAAGTTCTAGAATTTCACGAAGATTCATGGCTGTTGCAGACAACTGTGTCTAAATCGTAGGATACGGCAGCTGAAATTTTATGCGATCGCGTGATCACACCTTCTCCATGAGTTTTCACGAGTCTTGACTCGAATGCAACGGAATGGTTGGTTTTCTTATCGCTAAAATTAAAATTACTATTTCGCACGAATTATTCCGAAGAATCTGTGTATTTTTAATCGTATGCTACGTCTGATTTCGTGCCAAAGTACCTTGTTTTTTGAATATTTTTAAATATTTTCTTATTCGTGTATAGAACATAATACGTAGAATATTAATTACAAATAAACAAAGTATTAACATGTACTTTCCAAATATTTATAGAAATAACTAAGGAAATCTTTCATTCGAAACTTTTTAATGAAACTTAATTAAATTCGCGTGTTGCACGAAAGTTTTTTCAATTAGCTTCATATGAGTGATCGATCTACTTACATTTTGTCTAAATATATAATAATCAAAAAATGTTTCTCGTGATGAACGAGAAAGTAGAAGTGCCAAAAGCAGCGAGCTGAATCGGAAGTTAAGTAGTTAACGATTATTTTCCATGGTTCTTAAGCATTAACAAACGAGGAAAAAATTCCCATACCAACCACTGTATCGTGTTTACAGGTACTGGGCCAACGTGAACGTATTGTAGCCAAGTATACGTTATGGAGGACCACGGGCAGTATAACACATAAAACGGGCGCATAAACGAGATGCTATCGGAGTTGGAGGAGGTTCCGCGTAATCTATCCAATTATCGTTCGATCAAAGCTGTATCCGTGATTGTTGGGACCCCCAGCCACCGAGAGAAACTTGACTGCGATGAAGAGCATAAGGGATATCTGTACAGAAGGTTTCTATCCAGTGCTCTATTACAAATCGAATAATATCGAGAAAAGCAAAGCAAGCATTTTAGACAGAAAAGTAAGTTTTGTTATTGATTAATTACCTTTGCTTTTTACATTTTTTTGCATTATACCATACAACATGATATTAATATATATTATTTTGCAGTAAAAATTACAATAAAACATTGTAATAACACTACTAATAATAATTACCAGTAACCAATGCAATTCTATCTTTAAAAACAATGAATAAGTAAGTACAATTCCTTTTACAACTCATTTCTTTTTCTTCAAATTCATATATTATCTACGTCATTGTACTTACAGATCTTCTGGTTCAACATATCCACTCGTCGCCATCCAGCTAGTTATTATCAACGATTTATTAGTTATCTAGCGTAGAACCACTTGCTTCTTCATCGAACTCGATTCACGGTTCAGTTTCGCAGGGTGGGGTCACCGAAGGTTGCGCAACTCGTGGCTATTGCGCGGCGGTGCTGCCTTCCACACGATTGCCACTTTAAGTGCGCCATAATGGCAGTGGGCTCGCTAAGAAGAACGCGATCTTAAGAAACGGCTCACGGTGCCTTAGCACAGGGCTCGCCGTCCGTCTCGGTTTCGCTCGCTCTCTCGTAAGGCTAGCCGTCTCGATCGCTCAGGGCCCCGCGGATGCGGATCGCCGTTGGGCCTTTCACTGGGGCCTGCGGGCTACAGGTCGCGACCTCAACGTGGTCCACTCCCTCTTCCCTTCCCGCCCCTTCGTTCTTTCTCCTCCTGTTTCTTTCGACTCCTTCGCCGCTCTCCATCCTTCTCCTTCTTCCCTCCACCTCCATCTCCTTTTCTTTTTCTCCAAACATTTTTACCTCCCTTCTCTCTTACCTTTGTGCTTTACCTAACCCGGCTCCCTTTGCCTACTCGCTCTTCTCCGTCTCTTCACTCCACCGCCGTCTCGTTGCCACTCTCCTCTCGTCCCCGTTGTCCAAGGTACCCCGAGTCGTCTATTCTTAGTCACTCTCGTTAAGCGAACCCAACACGGTGATCAATGGGAGTTTCCAACGGCTTAACTTCATCCGGTGGATAGATGCATGGATAGATTTGGGTTATCGCCGGTCGGGATGTTCGATCGAAGGTTGACAACGTGGAAACGGATTCCTCTCTACCTTCCTTGGGAATGTAGGAGAAGACGATGCGCTCCGCTCGTGATATCGACGTAGGTTCGCGACGTTCCCGCGAGAAGAAGCGGCTTGCCCTGATTTTCGAGTCGAGCGCATACGTATATCGGCCGACTCGTGATCACGACCTCCGCGATCGGAAGAGCTTAATCATGTCCCGGGAACGTTGTATATACGGCGTGTACGCGACGAGTGGTATAACTTGGTGGAGAGAGAAGAATCGTTTATTCATTTCAATGTACATATATGTATATATATATATATAGGAATCAATTTTACAGTCGAGTCACTTAATTTCTCCTGACTACGATTAACCTTACGTTCCACTTCTATTTAGTAATCGGAATTTAATCGCACGTTCATCGGCCAACGCACAGGATTACGCGAATTTCTCGGCTGCCTCGGTTTTATTTACGCTTCATCACGGTTGCCTCGTTAGGAGGAACACTCGCGGCTGTAATTAACTCTCCGCGAGCCGATGGAATTTATGCCGATACGATTTTTGTCATAGATTCTGCTACTTCTTTCTAACTGTATATACATCGAATAGATCGACGTATACCATCGATTATCATTGCTCCGTTATCGTTGCGTAACGAGCTTGAAAACGCACGAGATCCTTGATCTCGTAGTTAGTCTTCAGACACATTTGAAAGATTCTTCAGACAATTGCTCTCAAATGTGTTTTCAAACTGTGTGTTCATTTAAGAGCAACGTTTGAAATTTTTCATAAATGGACGATAGCTTTATTCCGAAAGTTTTATTATTAATTCACAAATTGTAATTATATTTCTCTTCATCGATCGACTCTTGCGACAGTTATTCTCAGAATACGAAACTGTATCGGAATTAATTTAGAAAATTCTCTTTTTCAGATAATTATCCTCAACGCAATATCCAGTCGTGATAAATACTTTCAAGAGAAGTTTGCTATAATTTCACTCTCAAGTGGACACGTACCTTTCGACCGCAATTTGTTCAAATAATTCGAAAGCATCGGATATATTAATTTCACGCGGGTGAAGGGTACCCCGCGGTAATTTTCAAATTACAAGTTGGCCGCAGGCGAAGTACAGACCGTGGCCGTTCAGCCGCACTGGCCTTTAAGACATTGTCTAAATAATAGTCTAATGGATAAGGTATTCCAGGGCTGGGACCAGGCCGATGGTGCCGCTTCCAAGAGTTGCTGCGTTGTGGTTACGCCAGGTACAACGATAGTCTATATTCCCTTACGACTAGCTTCATTCCCCTTTAAAGTGTTTTAGAGGTTCTGGAAGTGGGTGCTCGGGCCGTTTTCTCCGGCAAACTGCCTCGTCTCTGGATCCCCGGCTTGCACTTCATTGGCCGCTCAACGGTCGTTGCTAACCCGGTTCTTGAAGATTCATCCCCGTGTGTCTCGTGCCGACGTGGCCTGAGCTCTTATGGTTCCTGGTAACGATCTTTTCCGATAGCTTACACGATTTAAACGCGAGCTGCACGTGCATACACGGTCCGGTGCGGCCGCATAATTTTCAGAACGCGAGGTACTCGAGTGATCATCCTCCGACGGAAGTTCTTGGATGGACGACTTCTTCGATGGAAAAAAAGTGTTCGAAAAGGTTAATCTCATTACGAGACCCTTGGGATCGAGATGTGGCCGGGGATCGGGAAGATTTCTCAACACGAGGAAGCTTTGATGTCGGAAGAATTGACACTGGTTATCGCCGGTGAAGCAAATAATCATCTCGACGATGCTCTTTCGAAAAGAAGCATAGAACCTATATCTATAGCGAAGAAGCGCGGTAACGACGAGTGGAGATCATAACAGTTACCTTCCAGGAATCAATTGGATCGCGATGGTAAGAAGCAAGTTGTGGTATCGAGTGACGCGAAACCGCCTAAAAGAAATTCAAATATTTTCTATTCGTCTTTCTTTCAGCTGAACAGTTATACCAATGCCATTCCCTGTCCTAGACAATCGTGCTTGACAGTTGCAGTACAAGGATCGGCAAAGAAGCTTTCTCAACCACGATCCTTCGCCGAAAGAAATTCTCTAATTAAAAACTCTGAACAAGAAGAGGAACAACTTACAGAGTTCGTTCACCCGTGTATCTCGAAAAGTTTCACCTCGGATAGTGGAAGTTGTATAAATTGTCCTTGAGACGAATGAACCGTCACGTCCATTTTGCCGATAACACTTTTCGTGCGTTTCTGACGTAAACGATTGTTACACATCCGGATTTATCTAGATTTACAAAGCAGCATCATAAAATAAATTGTCAAGCTTAACACAATTCTTTCTCGAATCGTTATAATATCTGTCGCACGATGTTGCTCGTTAATTTCTGTTAATTTGTGGCGTAATCGAATGAGAATCTGGGAACGTTATCTTCTTCTTGGATAATGTTTCACGTATATCATAGCGCTTACTTTTTCTATGGTTTCTGCCTATGAATGGATTCAGAAGAAGATGAATTGCGTAATGATATTCTTTTTCTTTCCTTTTTCTTTTTTTAACTCTTCCTTTTATTCTCTATATTTCGCGAAGGATTATCATACAATGAGATTACACGGATGAACGTCTGAAAATGTAACGGGTTTATGACAGTGTCAAGCGGTAAATAATACGCTGTTAATTTGTGGCGGCCATCTGACGCGGGGCTTAGCGCGTTTACTTACGGTTTCCGGTGAGCAAGAAATCGCATCGTCCGATAATCATCTGCAATGTTATCTGGCTCACGATCACGGACCGTGTCCTCGGTCTGATATGGCTAAATTAGTTCTGGGAACGCGATTACCTGCTACCATGCAAATTGAAGTAACGTGGAGCGTTACGCCCCTCTGGTTACGTATGCTTGCGTACGTATATTATTTCTTTGCCTGAATTCTTCTTCCCGGTTGATGTTATTTTCTTACAAATTGATTTTTAATTTTTCAACTTCAAATTTAAAGGATTATCACTTCCTCTCCAAAAATTTAATATCAAGTTTACCATCTACCAACCCAATCGACACCACCTTGATCATGAATTAAAAAGTCAATCAACACGGTAGCACGCGTCTTCCTCGCTGTGAACAAAGGTACCAATCAATATCATGACATTGATAAACGAAATCGAAATTAGAAACGCGAAATTAATCCTCGTAATCTTTTAATAAGCTAGTAATAAGATATATGGTAGCAAGGATAACGATCATCCACCGATCGTGCAGCGAAAGGATCTCGAAGAACCACCTACGGCTCCTTCAACGTGGTAAAGATACGCAGCAGAACAAATTGGGGCCCGCCGGGTTGTTTGACAAATTTCGTCTAGCGCCGCGGGAGAGTGCCTTCTAATATCCTCCCCGGTTGATTCTTCCTTGTTCTCCGCCATCTCCATTTCCCCTCTCGCCTTCCTCCTTGCCCTCCTCGTCCGCCGCCGGCGGCCATCCTTTAGCATTCGTTGCACGACCACTTTTCTCCCGCTCTATGAGCAGATCCGTGTGTTCCATTCGAGCGTGTGCTGTGCCCCGTCATTGTGTGCACAAGAATCTGCATGCGCACGTATATATACGTATACAAAGATGGAGGGAACGCTCGTACTGGAGCGTGCAATGCACACTAGCACGATAGGTGGTAGGACCCGGAGGATGAGGCCTTCCTTGGCTCCGAAGAAGGTACCGCTATCGCCCTCTGACCTCTCGAGGCGAGCGAACGAGGCCTCCTTCCACCGGTAATTTTGCCTTCGGTCCCGGCTTCCTGGTGCTACCCAGATCTAGATCATCGAAAATCGAAGACGAGGGTCTCCCCGGTTTCGCGAGAAGAGAGAGCCTCGCGCTCTTCACGCTAAGGACGAGCGTACCGGATCGATCTAACCGGCGAGACTCCCTCGAGGAGTCTTGCACGCGATATTCCGATCGCCAAGAGATCCACAGAGTAGATAGTCTGCTTCTGTTGTCTTGTATCCTTTTTTTTTCCCCCCTCTCGTCCACCCGTGCTCTCTCGAAATATCTCGGAAGAGAGTTCTATTAAGCCCCTTCTCGCGGTGGTTTGGGTGAAAAAAGATAAACAAGATAAAAATATTCTCCGAGCCGATTTTCACACGAATTCAAAGACGCGACATAAATTGGGTGTATCTATGACGCCGATCACCCATAACATTTCATCGCTATCTCATATCTCTCTTGTTCATAGACGCAAACGCTTGGATAACGCTTGGAATCAATTCAACGATGCCACGCGTGGAAAGTAAATGTCCATCGGATTTTAATGGGATGGATACACACTATGAATGGAGGTTTTACCTGGAAAACGGAAATCGATCGATCGAAGCAGGAGGTGATTCGCAGACTTTTCCCCGTGGGAATGGAACATTTACGAAGTGGCGTGGAGCAGAAGCACTCGCATTCCGAGGTAAATAGCGAGCGAGCCGGCCGGTGCAACAAAAACATCGGACGTTAGGCGAATTCGAGATGAGAAACCGTTCCTTTCGAGAGAGAATTATTCAAATTGCCGATGAACCCGCCAGTTGGAACACTGTTCCACGGCGAGCACTGTAACAAGTACGTAGAAGCGGCGGGCTGTTCGCGCGCGCGCGCGGCTACTCGAGAACAACTCGAAACGAGGAGCTCTGCAGGAAATAATGTCGTGGGATTGTTTCGCGCGCTATCAAGGTTTCACCGGCTCGTTTCGAGGCCACACGTCCCTCTGGATGTTGAATAAATGAACGTGCCTTGGAATATCGCGGAGGAAACGATGCTTTGACGGATCGTAAATCGGATAAACGTATGTGAACAGGTATTTAAGCGGAAATGCTCGTACCATTAAGGACCGAGCCGTGAAATAAGGCATAGGGGAAAGTTGCGTGTGTAAATATTGAAAAATTTAGATAAAATAACTTATTACTTTTTTTTTTTTTTTAGCGTGTAAACAGACATACCTAGGACGCTTTATAGAAACGAGGAAGATGGTTATAGATGGTAATTCATCGCAGTCAAAGTTTCAGACACACGATTGTGGAATATGTAGAAATATTTCGAAAAAAAATTTTTTTTTTTTCAGAACTATAATTATCCAAAAGTTCAGATTCAATGACGTGAAATTGGTAACGTAATATTATATTACTCCAAATCGGTTGATGATATTCATAGGATTATTAAACGTAGAAGAATTTTTTCGCAGAATATTCGGATCGAGGAAGAAGAACTCGGAGAGAGAAAGAGAGAAAGAGAGAGAGAGACTCGAGGATGATGTTGACTCATTTACGTGTACACGGTGATCGCGGATCGGCTCGATGACTAATCCCGATCCGGACAAGGGTAACCACTTTCAAGCAATACCGAAATAACGGTCATCGGCGGGAAGGCAAATTAACCTGGCCGACTTCGAGCGACCGCTACCGTGGAAAAAAATCGGAAATCACAATGGTCGATCCTTAAACGGTCGCGCGGCATTTAATTTCACTCGGCCCTCGTCGTTTTCACCGTACAATTCCGATCGTCGATCGTTCCGACGAGCCGCGAACAAAGAGAGGATCTTTGGATAAATAGCAGCCGTGCTCGTCCTCCGGTTTCCGCCACGATTTAACGGGAGTTAATACTGTAACAAGGACAACGATTTCATATAATTTCTTTATTCTGTCTACGATCGGTGTGTGTATGTGTGTGTGTGTGTGTATGCGCGGTGAGAAATTTAAATCGAAACGTTGAAGGAACGATCGATAATTATTCCAATTTTATAGATTTTATTGAAAAGATTCGAAGCATACGTATATTTTATAACAATTGCATCGTGTTATCGAGCTACTTTCCGAGACCGTATCTCATTTAAGATTACGAGGTGAAAAAATGGCCGTCTTATGCAATCTTGAACAAGACTTTATCATCCTGTATTATCGAGGCGGTTTTATAAAATTCGTTTTTACCTCGAACCAATTAACTGGCGAATTTATTATTATCTTCCGAATATTCTTCCGAACGCGATCCGAAATATAATCAAAAGCATCCTTTTCTTAACGCATGTATACACGCCTCGCATCGATATTAAAAATAAATGGCGTTTAAGAAAGCCGTACCGATACTCGAACCCGATAAATAAGAACTTTAACTTTCCCGTTCTAAAAGTCAGCAAGGGAATTAATAATCGCGATCGCGTAAAACGTAATTAAAAGCGAAGAATATAACCAATTTTCGGCTTGACGAGCCTCCTCTCGGGGCTAAGTACGATCAAATTAGCGTCCACCCGGTTTCGGTTTATTTATTTCCGGTCGACCGTTCGCGCGAAGAATTCCCAGGCGAAGGTGGGGCAAGAAATGGCTTCGTATCTCGTCCGGTAAGCGATCATCGTTGCCTCGGGTCGCACGATTAAGGACGCCATTCCACTTCGTCTCCGCCTCGCGACCGGAGAGAAGAGAGAATCTTGAAAAACCACGGCCACGGCCGAGTGTCATCGCTGCCAGGTAGAAGATAAAATCGGCCAATCTACGTACGAAACCATCCTCCCCTCTTCTATTCCTCTCTCTTTCGAAAGGTGAACCGATAAAAGGCGGTTTATACGAGCGCGTTACGAAGAAAAGGGCGGCGGCGAAGAGAGGGAAAGGGGGAGAGGGAAAAGAAGGCGAGGAGGATCCCGAAAAGAACGAAAGAGAACGGCCGTTCGTTTTAATCGCTAATCGCCAATTACCTGGGGCGCCCCAAACCCCCACAAGCATTTTAACGAGCCGCCGTGTCGCCCGGCCCGGAATTTTACTCTTCTGGACGCTCGGCTTCCAAGTCGTCCACCGACGATTTCGGACCCCGCAACGTTCGCCGTATCTCTCCCCTCGCCGTATCTCTCCTCTCCCTTTAACCTGTTTCCCTTCCACCTTTCTTTGCTCCGTCCCTCGCGCTACGATTCGAGCCTCTAACGTTCGAGCGTGTGCGTATGCGCGCGCGTATACAATTAGCGCATACTTGGACGCGCGGTGTGTGTGTGAGCGCGGGTTAAACGGTCGATTTCGGTGTTCGAAACAGAGATCGCGGAATCGTTTCCAGAGAACGTTCGAAGAGAAGAGGAATTATCGCGGTTCCTGGATGGCTGGAGGTCGTAACGGGGCGCAGACAATGAGCTCGTTAATAGGAGGCGATTAGTCACGGGCTGACTAAGAATCGAGGTAAAGGTGAAGAGGAGCTACCTGAGATTATATCCCCCCGGTGTTTCGGATAAATGACATCCCGGGTAGCGGGATTATCGCGCGGGATAGCGGGGGAAAAAGGGACGGGTTGAACGGAGGCGAGGGGGTTTCCTTCGGATTTTCGTAACGGTGCTGGCGGGATGTTTACGGCGCCAAGATTAAGCGTACACCACTGTGGGAGCTAAGTAATAACTGCCAATGGAATTAGAGACGCTGCACGGTCGGGTATATACGCGGATGGATACGTGGCGTGTACGTGACTGTGCCGTGGACGAGATTTTTATCCTGTGGACGGGGATATCTATAAACACGGAACCGAGATACAGGAAGAGAATCTTTGGTGTTTGGATTCCCATTTGAGGAGTTCGTCGTGACGAATCGTCATCCGTTGGGGCCGCGATGGATCGGTGAGAATCCGAGGGAACGAAGATAAAATTGATAAGGTTAAATTAACTAAAGTTGTCAATTATTGTGCAATTATCGTGCTCGCGTGATTCGATTGTTACGCGCTCGATCTGTCACTTTCCATTCGTAAACCGAACCTCTCTCTAAAAATTCCGAGTATCAAAATTTTTCAACATCAAGTTTCTTTCTCCTTTTCTTTCCTTTTCTTTTCTTTCCCCTTATCAATTATCCACCACTTTAACCACTTCCCCACTCGCCCATAAGTTTCAAATAGTCGTCGTCAAACTGTCTATCGATTTTATTCGAGATGTCCTGCTTCGGTGGTCGCGGCGAGCAGATATACATAATCGAAATACTGATCCACAAGTTGACACTGACGAGGGGCAAGATCAAAGATCTCGGTGATTTTCCATTAGCGGTGAAGGTTCAATTTCTCGATTTCTCGGTGTTCGAAATCACGAGGAACGAGTTTTATTCGGTGAAACCACCGCCACCGACCGAGGATGGCACGTTTTATTTCATGGTGGGCAGAAGTTGCCTGTTTATAAAACAACCGAAGGATCTGGTAACGGAACTGCAGTCGCAGAATATAAAGGTCGGCGTGTATCGCGTCGGAGATTCATACCCCATGGCCGAAACCGAGATAACGTTGCCCGGTTGCATGTGCGACCAAGTGGCGATGGCCTTCAACGATCCCCAGAATCTGCCGAAACCGTTTATGGTGAAAGGTAATTTCAATCTGTTGGACCCTGGCGAGAATCCGTCGGGAACTTTGGAAATGGAAATGCGGCTGTCGTGTTTGGGCCGTTCGATCATGACCCACTACGAGCTGCATCCCAAATTCTTCACGTTCAGGAATAGCGGGCAGGAAAGGGAGTACTGTGTCAGACGTCTTCTTCCGTCCACTTATTACCCGGAAGGCGAGGCCAAGGAGATCACGGAATTTCTGGAGAAAACGACGGTGGACGAGGTGAAGGAAAAGGTGAAGGAAGAACCGGTGAAGAAAAAGAGGGAGAGGAAGCCGAGGGGGAGGGGGAGGGGGAGGGGACGCGGCAGATGATTCGCGATTTCATTATGGAAATAGAAAAATGATCATCCGGTATAGGAGTTCTGTTAATACAAGTTACCATGGTGATCATAAAAGACACATTAAATTAAACGATTGACGTGGTTAGGTTCGTACATTTATTGGCCGTAAAACGATTAATAACAAAATTAATGGCGCGTTACGGGTAAAAATCTTACCAGAAGTTCCCGCTTTTTTTGCGGTCTGCGATTTTTCTTTCTAAATTCTTGTGGAACACTGGCGGGACAAAAAAAAAACTCAGTAAAATGGCTCAGAAAAGGAAAACCGTGAAATCCAAGGAAGAACAGCTTTACATGCTCGAGATATTGATCGATAAAGTGACTTTAAATCCTCAAGTACCGGATATCAATGTTGAAAATTTAATCGTTCACGTAAGATTCATAGATCTGCCGGAATGTGAGTTAAGCGTCCCACAAATTAATGATAATCAGGATAATAATAATAACGAGAAATCAATCGTAAGCTCTAAATACGGAAAATCGTGTTTATTTTCCAAAACGCCTAGCTGCCTTATCAGGGCTTTAAGATGGTCACCGTTATACATGGATGTCTATCACAAAGATGTCAATTGCCCGCAAAAGAGTGATTTTTTGGGAACGTCGAAAATATCTTTGCCCGCCTGTATGTGTAAACAAATTGTAGATAATCAAAAAAAATTCAACGATTCATCGAAACCATGCGTGGTAAAGGATACCTTTAGTATGATCGATTATAACGGGAAAGAATCTGGTAGTATAACCGTAATTCTAAAATTATCTTGCTTCGGAAGCTCCATCGTCGAACAATTTTCTCTCGCTGGAAAATCCTTTATGCTAGAGGATTCGCCATTACGAAAGTTTCTGTGTCCGTATATTTATCCAGAAAGTATAAAGGATGAAGAGGACGAAGAGAAAGACGAAGATCCGCATAAACCGATACTGAAACGACCGGACTCGCCTCTACGCATTCCGATCGAGGATCCCGCGTTTAAGACCCTAACCATGGCCGAAAAGCTCAACGACCCCAAGTATCGAGAATTAATATACAAAGCTTATCCGGACGAGCCGACGTGCTGTTGCCAGCCCAAAGATTGTTCGAACCATCCTATGATATGCCCTTCGGGTTGCACTTATCCTTGCTGTATAAAATTGAGAAATCCCGATATATTGTTCAACGAAGAGAGAAAACGCGAAGATCCATTGATCGATACTTACTGCGTGAACAACAGTCTGTCCGCTTTGTACAAATTAAAGCAGCTAGAATCTTCCTACAACATGAAAATTCCCGATATAGAATCTACCAAGGAAAATCGATATAATACGTATTGCGTGAACGCTTTACACTTCCCGATCGAACAAAATCACACGTGTTGCAATCCGACCAGGTTGAAAGGTGGTGGAGACGTAGAGCAGATATACCTCGATCCGACCAGCCTTAGATGGAACAATTACGAGAATGATTACAGTTTGTACGGCGAAAAAAATAATGAAATTCGACTGGAAGGGGGTGGCGGTGAGGATAAAGATATGAGCAGTTGCAGCTGTTCCGGTTCGCCGGTTTCGGTACCGCTGCGAAAAACATTGTCGAAGGATAACGACGTGGTGGCCATCTTCGACGCTTGCGTGCCTCGTCCAACGACGACCGGGGCGACACCTACTTGCATTTGCCCTGGAAAGGATACCAAGTGGCCTAGAGGAGCCGCCAAATGTATGAAATCACCGTGCATGGGGATAGATTGTTTGATCAGGGCGTTCAAGGATGCTCAAGATTTCGTGGATTCCATTGGAAAAGTGCCAGGATTGCCAGGACTCGGTTTAATGGATCCATCCGAGAGCCCGTATTTCGGCAGGGACATCGACAAAGATTATATGCCCGTACAGGAACGGCCGGCACCAAAGAAGAAGGGTGTACAAGCAATACCGACAACACCGACAGCTCCTACTTGTACAGCACCGTGTAGCATTCCAGTCAAACCCCCCGAAGATATTCGTGCTCAGCTCGCCTCTTACACGCCTACGGCTCCCCGTCCAGTCACTGTGCCGCCACGGTTGGGAATCGTCCGCGAGGCAATACCTGTTTTACCGGAGGGAGGTTTAACAGTCGCACCTACGTTCAAACATAGGAAGAAGGAGGATAAGAAAGAGGAGAAATCAGAGAAACAGAAGGAGATCGAAGCCACGTCGTCTGCTGTGATGGAAGCGGAGGTGGGTCCTTGCGGTGAACCGAGATGCAAATCGAGGAGAAAAAAGCCTTCGGATAATAGTAGCGTGATCTTGAGTAGCACTCTTCTCTCCACCAAGATACGGACGGACAAAAGGCGTACCTCTGTCTCGAAATCTAAACATAAAACAAAGAAAGAGGTTAAATACGCCTCTTTGAAGCGTTTCGGGAGATCAAAGTACGACAATACGCCCGATGTTCAAAAAGATATGTCACTTATAGTTGGTCGTCAACAAATGGGTGGTAAAACGATGGGTCGCGATAAAAGAGGAAAAGTCTTAGGGCCCGGTGGGGATCGCACTGTTCCCCCGATTCCGATTAGCAGACGAGTAACGCGTTACGTTTATTTCGTTGGCGACTTTTATCCTGGTATCAATTTTGGCCACAGAGATTGTATCGATATACCTATGAGAGTTCCCGCTAACATGGGTTGGTTGTGGAACACGATGGCCACGGCGGGAAAATTAAAACCGCGAATCGGTTGGAGACCGGGCGCTATTGGTCGTTATTTGTACGAAATGTTGCAAGATGCAAAAGAGCTTACTATGGAAGAACTGGAGTATGAGAAAGGAAAACCGGAGATTGAGGAAAAAGAGCGTGCGAAACCTAAAGGGAAAATTGATCGTGGAAGGATTGATCGTGGAAAGATCGATCGTGGAAAGATCGATCGTAAAGGAGTAAAAATAATGGAACGGGCAAGATCTTTACCTTCGCGGCAGAAGAGCCCTATGAGACGACCCAGAACGGGAAGAACTATAAGTTATCAATCAATGCAGAAACAAACGAAGATGGAAGGAGAAGAAGAAGGACCAGAAGCTCCACCGACATTGCATATCCATAGGAAAGATGGCACTTATTACGTAACCATGTATCCTATTAAACAAGAAACGACTACTGAGCCAACTTTGTCTACACCAATGAAACCGCTTCAATTTAAGATCGTAAAGAACAAAGACGACGATACAGATGCGACTAGTTCGACGGCATCCGATATGGAGATTGAATTCTCTCCTCCCGCCGCGGTTACCAGGTATCGCAAAAAACCTGATGTCGTTCATGTTGATACTCAAGTTCGTCAACAGGAAATTATAGACGCGTTTAAAGCGGAAGAATTTAAGAAAAAGAGCAGAAGAGGTGTGAGAAGGGAAAAAAAATTAAAGAAAGAATCTAAGACTTTTGTTAAAAAATAGAAATACCAAATAGAACACTTGGAATGAGGAAAATTATAATACAATTACGATATGATTTCGAAATAAAACATTAGAATATTAATAGAAAGACTGATATCATTTGATAACACAGATTTATTCTTATCCGAAATATAGTGAAATGATTTTTAAATAAATATAATAATTTCTGATACATATTTGAGACTGCGCGTTTCGATTTAGTGTTGAGCGCGGCATCTACACGTATTTGTTGCGCATGTCCATCGAAACGTTACCGACTGGAGTTAAACTATTGAATCGAGTGAAATATCAAAGTTTTTACGGTACGTAAAAAATGGATATCAAAACGCAAGAAAAGCAAAATGAAAGTATAAAAAAAAAAATGCTCGATGTGCAAGAATTGCGTATAGCAAAATGTCCGTCAAATTCACCATGGATCAGACCGGTTAGGATATATTATAAACAAAATGGCGAACATAAAGATTGGGATGTGGTAAAAGCACATGATGGTGTGAATATAATTATTTTCAACGTCAGCCGAAAAAAGCTCGTATTTGTTCGTCAATATCGTCCAGCATATTTTTATACATTTCTACCGGAGAAATATGGTTCGGTAGATCTTAAACAATATCCACCATCATTGGGTTTAACCTTAGAACTTTGCGCCGGTATCGTGGATAAGAACAAATCACTTGTCGAGATCGCAAAAGATGAAGTACGAGAAGAATGCGGATATGAAGCACCATTAGAAGCCTTTAAATATATCGTTACTTGCAGGTGTGTCAATGGCAAACTAATAATTTATTAAAATGCTAAAGTATTATTAAAAAGTTGTTTAATGTTTCTTCTTATGATATTAAATGAAATAATAAGTGAAATGTTGGTGAAAAGTGTAGTTTTCAAGTGCATGTGTCATTTTGTTTTTTTTAAATTATGTGTTTCTTTTCTTTCTGCTTCTATTCCTCTGTAAAATGTGTCTTACTAAAAAAGATAAGAATAAATATATTTATAATTTATCATGTTTAGTTATTTATTTTGTTATGGATTGATTGTAGGTATGTTTCCACTTTGGTCTGCAAGCAGACACTTTTCTATGTGGAAGTTACAGATGAAATGCATACTCATCCTGGTAAGCTAATATTATAAATATAATTTTTAAGATTTGCTTCACGATTAAAATAATATATTTCATAAAAGATGATATAGCTCTTAAAATAAATTTATAATATCCAATAAAATGTTTTTGAAGAAATTTTGTTTCTTGTCCTCAAGTAATAATTTCTCAAATTAAAGGAGGGGGTTCTGCAGCTGAAGGAGAACTGATCGAAATAGTGGAATTAAGCATTCCAGAAGTAAAAGAATACATCAATTCTGAAGAAGTACAAAGTCCACCATGTTTGCTATATGGTATAACCTGGTTTTTAGCTAATAAATCTGAATATTGTTCTTAATAATTCTTTTAAACTTGTTCAAATTAAACATTGATATAATATTCTAAATAAAAGTATTATCCTTTAACTGATTTATTTACAAATAATGCGTATGTACATAAGAGAATGTAAAAGATATGTATGATTAAGACAAGAAGGATGAATCTGTATAAACTAGCATAAAATTAATGTTCAGCCTCATCTTTTGTAAACTGGGAGCTAACCCAAGCAAGACCCCATTTTAAATTAGTTAACAAAAATTTCAATGCCTTAGTCCATTGCTCTTCTGAATTAAATTGAATTCTAAAACAAGAAATATATATTGTGCGTATTTAAAGATTATAAATAATTAATAAAATATGATATAATAAATAATTAATTAACAATTACTTGATGGAATAAGAATTTCCTGTTGCAGAATCTTCTATTTTTCCACGATCCATTCTATATGGAAGACAGAATCCACTGTCTCCTTTTTCTACCTGTTCCTTGAATTGTTGTAAACAATCAAGAAATGCTACCATTGCTGCATCAAACTTTGTATCCCATAAAAATTTGAATCCTCCACTTCCATACAATGGAAGTTCTCTGTGCTGATCTAAAGCTTCAATATAACTATGATTACCAAATGGCACTAGACGAAAACGTTTAAATGTGAGATTCATTTTTCTAGCAAGGGCTGTTAACAGTAAAGTTGTTTGTCCCCAAGCAGCATTTATTTCACTCCAATCTACTGGTGCACTTGGTAATCTGCCTAACCGGAATGAATTTATAGTTCCAAAATGTCCTGAATGCCATATATGAAATGTAGCATTGAAAACGTTTGTTTTCTTCAATCTCTCTAGTTGTGAAGCAGCATAAGCTAATTGACATTCCAAACTAATTAAATAATCACTGTTAATAAAAATGAATTATAAAGAATATAAATTAATACAACATGTTATTATTACCTACGGTATTCATCTTCTGCCAATATGAGATCTCTTTTGTGTTTTGAATATTCCTTCCAATATCTTTCTTCTTCGCTTTGTAACCTTTCCCTTTCTCTTTCTTGTTGAGCTATAGCATTTCTAGTTGCAATTTCTTCTTTTCTCAGTGCCTCTAATTCATTTATCATTCTTTCTTCTTCTGATTTCACATCTTGCAATTCTTTGGTAAGAGTTTCCATTTCTATATCTTCATGACCTTGATGTTGTTGTTCTATTTCCAATTTCTTTAAATATTCATTATAATCTGACCATTCTCCTTCAGTCATTCTTAATTGTTGATCCATTAATAATAAAAGACTATCTGTACATTCATCACAGAGTGGATGATCAGCAGAGCTACTGCTACTGAGAATATCAAACAATGTTGCTCGTACCTTAAATAAAAAAAATATATTGATATTTTATATAAATTAATAAATAAAAGACTATATAATTAAATAAATCAATAAATGAATGAGTATATAAATAAGTAAATATATATCAAATGAAAAAATGAATAAATATATATATATATAATACCTTTAAATGATGACTCAAACTTTCTGTTTCTCCAGAGTCACCAACTAACATGAATCCATTAGTTCCATTTGCAGATTCAGTTAATTTAAATGGAGGTACTAAATGTTCCATACTTCCAGTTTGAGGTTCTAATTCACCCATTACTTGTTGTTGGATGGGAACTATTATAATAAATTATAATTTATATTATGAATTTTTATATAAAATATATTATAAAACATAATTTATATAAATCCGTATAATACAATAATTATTTTAAATAATCGATGAATATATATATATATATATATCAGAAAAATATAAATTTTTAAAATGTAAATAAATTATGGATTATCAAAAACTCATAAAATGATGTAATTAAAAAATATAATTAAGAGAAAAAGACATTACTTTCATTTTATTTCTTAAATGAGGCAAAATTTATAAAATTGTATATTTCGAAATAGAAATTACCTACGTGAAAGTTCAGCTAAAGTATGTTCTCCCAGGTGATAAAAACTTGGATCTAATCTGAGAGGTTGTAGACATCGTTGACACGCAAAACTTACATTACTTTTTATATCAACCATTTTAATTTTTGGCGATTAAAAAATAATTTCAACTTCCAATGAACTGGTACGCCACACTATTTATAAATACGTATTTGACGCTAGGAAGACAGGGTCAGCTGATTTTATTTCTATGATGCTCCGCAAGAAGGCGCAAATAGTTTATAGCGTCCTTTTTTTTTTATACATTACAATTATGCTTAATTTATAAGATTTAATATTTATAATTAAAATATAAGCCAAAAAAAAAAAAAGATATTAAGAACAATTATGAATTAAAAATTATAATAAGTAAAGATATTTAATTCATAAAATTTAAATATTATATATATTATAATATAACACTATAGTATGTTAAAAAAAATTAGGATTCTAATTAATTTTTAGAGATAGAATAAATAAAATTAATATTTATTATAATTTTTAATATTTAATATTATTATAATAAAAAAAACTATAATAAACTTTAATAAACTTCATAAAATATATTTTATAAATATTTTTCAGTAACCAAGTTGGCCAACGTTTTCAATATTACCCTAAAAATCGATACAATTTCTAATTAAGTAATTGAGGCTAAAGGAAATTTATAAGAAAATAATGAGTAATATTTTTTTTTCAATTCCTAAAATTATGAAATAATTTTGAATTATAAATAAACATAAATTTTTATTTTATTATGCTTTTTGAATTAATTTTGATTTAATTTTACATGATTAGATTGTAGCATATATATCATAAAGAAATATTTTGATTTTTTTTTGAGATCGAATATTTATGATATCTTATAGATTGAAAAGAAATTTAATATTCTTTTAATAAAGAAAATAAATTTTTTTTTCAAATCTATTCTGTTTCTTGTCTATAGTTTGAATAAGAATAAAAGATTAGCGCCATCTCTTGAATTATTTTAGAAAGATATTTTAAAATAAAATACTCGTATTAGCCAAAAAATAATTATTTTATTTTATAAAACATATTTATTATAAATTAAAATATAAATTATAAATTATGAAAATAAAAAAAATAAATAGAAAAAATTAAGAATATATATATATTTTAGAAATTCTTTAAATTAATTTATCATATCTATAATAGATGGCAGCACAAGCTTTCTTGTCAAGTGCTGCACTCTAGTGGCGTTATTAATAAACTTTTAGTCATGGTTCGTTGTTTGTTGCGCGCTCAAAAAAAATTTCGTTCGTTCTTTTACAGTGTTAAAGTGTTATAAATTATAATTCAATCTTTATTATACATCAACAGAAAGTAATAGGTAATCACAATAACTATTTTTCTCTTATTATTTTTTAAATACAATACTTTATAATGATATATTGCTTCAATCATTTTTCAGACCGTTGTCAGATTTATTAAGAAAAACCGCCATACTTCAAATCTGAAATCGTGATGCTCGAGAAGACAGATTCACACAGTGAGTTCATTATTTAATGTGATATTGATATATATGCATGATCTTTCTTATTTTTCAAATATTCGCAAGATGTTCGCGTAATATTTCTTTATATAAAATTTAT